CACACACGCTTTGGTATGGAAATAAGTAAATATTAATTCATAGGCATCATCTTTCAGTCACTGTTAGTCACAAAGAGGAAAAATAAAAACCCTATGGAGCGTGGAAATACCAGGCTCTAAGCATCGCGTGGAGAGCCAGGTATTCACCAAGAAGTTTGGGGCACGTGGGGGAAACAACCAATTAGAAAAGATTCCTGCTATGTGATAAACCTGCAACGAAAGAAAAATGGCCTTATTTGGACTCAAACCGAAGTAGTTCCAAGGCTGTGTGTTCCAAGAGGTTGTTGTAACTCGGGCACCCGAGGAGCAGCAAACTGGGAATGAGGGCCAGGCTGTTGCAGAGCTTGTTCTGAAGGCCGCAGCTCCAGTGGCAGCTTCCTCCTGGGGAGGCCTTCTCCAGCACACAGCTCAGAAAAAGGACACAGTGACTAAAAGATCACAGTGATGGCACTGGCCTGTGTGTGGGCCGACCTGCGGACCACCAGGGGGCCCGAGTGTGGTTTTGCTTGGCTACCTTCGGGTTTCTGTAGCGGATGGCAGGCCCCTTTGGTAGTGGGACTTGGGGGAGGCCGAAAGAAGATAGACTCATCTCAAAATAGCTTTTTCTGCATTCTGAAAGGCTCATTTTTAGTTATTCTTTCGGTTGGTGGAGAGACTCAACAGTTTGGTGAACATTTGTTAACATGCAAATGTGTCGCTTTGGGAGGGACCACACACGGTCAAGAAAAGGAAGTTATCGGTCACACAAAAAAGAGTCTTCACGGTTAAAAAGAAAAGGGGAGGTGACTGGGGACCCACTTCGGGATCCTCTCTTGTAGTGTGTGGCGCCATGGTGAGGAGTCCCCAGTACCGAGGGGGCAGCGGGAGGTTCAAACTGCTTTCGCTTTGAGGGAGGGGGAAGGTGGGCAAGGGCTTAGGGCCAGGGGAGCTGGGACTCCTGACCTACTTCCCAGTTCTCCTTGAGCCAGACCTGGCACCGCTTCAGGAAAAAATAAGCATGAGGTATAGGAACATTTCTGGCCCCTTTATGCAGAAGGGATGCTTTGACTTCCCTTTCCTATTTGAACCCGAAGCAGCCTAAACATATGGTCCCTTCCAGTCCCCATTCCCTGTGACCCTGTTACCCAACCCCCACACACACTCTATTGGCTCATTACCATCCTCCATGTTCCATGGGAGTGAGTGCTTTTAATTAGATACCACACCACCAATAGCACCTTAACAATCTTTACAGCTCCGTTTTGGAATCCTTCCTCCCCTGGCATATGGAAGAACTATCAAGTATCACTCTCCTTCCTCAATGTTTTTTTGAATTCAATGTTTTATTGTTCATTTTAAGCCTTCACCATCAACTTGGACATGCACAAACACATATTTGTGATGAGAAGCTAGACTAGTTTGCACACAAAGCAATTAAATCTGGCAGCTATAATTCCAAAGAGCGAATGTTTTCCAGTTGCGGTTGGGGCCAATTGTATAGAAAAGAAACCAGCTGCTTCACGTTAGTTCCTGATGGGACTTTTCACACAGATGCTCATGTTGCAAAATTTATTTTCTGTTAGGACGTATTGTGAGAGCGCTCTGCCGTCTTTGCTCTCCTCTCAAATCCCCAGTGCTTTCTGGGAAAATAACAATGATCCATGCAAGGGTCATGTAGCCCTGAGTATCTATATGCAGGTTAAATGCCAACTTGGATATTATAATTTAGCAACTTAATGGTTTTCTTCGCTAACTGGATTGAGTGAAGCATTGTTCACAACCAGACTGGGAAGGATATGCATTTGGTTCTTTTTACTCAGTTGTGTGCTCACTGGGTGCTCAGCACATGCAGACAAGGGCCTCCTCCCAGCCTCACAAAATCATCACTCCCGTGAGTTTCAGCAGTATTTTGGGAGAAATTAAGTCAGGCAGGATTCACCTCTTGAAGCTGGCCCTTTGGTAATGAGATGAATGTTTAGAGTTTCTCACCCAAGAGTTTCTGTGCATTTCTAAATTAGACGCACACCTGTTGAAAGCTTTGGTGAGAGAAGGGGGGCGGCCCGAAGGCAGGAGAGCGGGAGAACTGGGAGTGCAATGTCACTTGTGCACTGCTGAGTCTCCGTACGTCTCAGAAACAGCACCTGCCTGGCCTCTCCAGAGGACTTGTCCTATGTTCTCCAGCTCTGGCTATGTCTTACAATGTGATCCTCAGGTTTCGATTGTATTGAATCAATGGTGCTGCATTCAAAATTCTAATGCCTGTTGTTTGTGATTTCACTGCCAATAGAAAAGCTTAATTTTCAAAAAAATTTAAGCTGTTTTATTCAGTTCTGTGACCTGCTATTTTTCAAAAACACCAAATCCCTAAAATTCATCCCTCAGAAAACGAAAAGGAGGCTTAATTCAAGTATATCATGTTGGCTGGGCTGCGGCCTTATTTGGAACAGAGTCAATGTTTTACCATTTGGCAGGCATGCATGTGAGTAGTTGACTAAAGAATACTTTGGTTTCATTTTTAAGTTAACATTTATGTTATTATTTTGGGATCCTTTTTATTAAGGGTTAGAGCAGGAAACAGCACACAGAAAATGGCTGATCTAAATTCTTTCTTCTCCAGTCTGGATGAGAAGTGCCGTTTTGTCAAGTAGGTGACTTTTGGACAGCAGTATTGCTTGGCAGAGTGCATTCAGAAGTGAGCCTTCCCACCAGTATAAAACAATGTGAATTACAAGCAGAGAAAAGATATACAACTTCCCTGGGTGCTGACTTTCCTGGCCCCACGCTTTTAGCTCTTGAGGAGTGAAACAGTCAAAGAATCTGTTATAAATCTCAGAGTGTCCCGTGACCCACGTGATGTTCATTTTACTAAGGAAATAAAGTAAAAAAAAAGTACACACAGCAGCTGGAGGAGAGAGGTAATTTGAGGTCATTGCTACACTTTGTCTATTAGCGTGTGAGTCACTCAGATGGAAGGTATAATAGAAGCCTCAGAGGAAGAGTTTATTCTAAAAAGCTACACAAAAGGATAAGACAGAGAGGTCTTCTCTGAGCAGCTAACTAAAGCCTCCAGACAGAGGCTGGCCAACTACGACCCCCACGAGCCAAATCTGGCCTGTTGCCTGTTTGCATTATCTCTGGCTGCTTTTGTGCCACAACAGCAGAGCTGAGCTGTTGGAGAGACCTTATAGCCCATAAAGTTTACAATATTTACTAGCTCGCCTTTTACACATAAAGTTTGCTGACTTTGGCTCTACAGAACAGGCCTGGAGTTTGAGTGTATTATATGTATGTATATTGCGGTAACTTAAGGAGAGATTGGAAAAGTCATATGGCTATGAAATTTAAAAGCCAATAAAAATATGAGTAACGTTTTTTATTTGTACAGTATTTTTACCTTCTCTAACAATTTCAAACATACTCTTGGAGTTTGCTTTGAACAATTAGTTAGCCTGTAATCTGATCAAACAGAGAAGAGGTCCGTGATGGGCCAGATGCTGTGACTGGGAGAAGGGTAAGTGATTCCTCCCTGAGTGATAACTGAAGGGCATGGATTTCATTTAAGGGTGTCTTATACACCCATAGAATCTTTTATTATAGGTAGCAGAGGGTTTAAAGTTCCAGAATTTTAGATTACATTAGTGTTAAGTGTAATCCTTAGTTTTACACAACTCAACAATTAACTAAAAAGCATATATCTATCAGTGTCCAAAAAGGGGCTTAGAGTAGGAAAAATACACAGAGGCTGTGACCATATTCTAGAATCAGATGCCAGTGAGATACAGGGAATGTGCTGTGCGAACCTGGGCACTGCGGATACGTTTTCTTCATCCTGTAATTTTCGTTTTAGCGCCCTTATTCTTCTCTGGGAACCAGAGCTCACCAATTCTCAGTTCATGGGGTTCAGGAGGGGCTTACCCTCCACTAACTCTGCGGTAGGCAGAGGACTCCACCAGGCTAGTGGGAAGACTGTCCCTCTAGTTGGAGTGACGGGTTTAGGGACAGATACATGGCCCAACCCAGCCTGTGGGAATTGGCCCTTGGACTTTTGTTAGAACTGCTGCAAAGCAAGCTGTCTCTCAGGTGACTGGAGCTAAGGATTATGGGAGCATGGAGCTGCCAGGGGGTTTGCTGCTGCAAGGAGAGATCGTGCCTAAGAATGAAGCCAAGGAAAAGCAGAACCAGGAGACTGCAGGAGACACTGAGGAAAAGAGAGAAGGCATGAAGGAAAAAAAGCGGGGAGAAAGAGGAACTGAATCCTGATAACATAATTTTGGCTTAGAACCAAATTTGCCTAAAGGAATCTTCTGGTGTTTTCATGTATATCAGCCAATAAATTCTCTTCTGTCTTTGACTAGCGGACCTTGGGTTTCTGTCACTGAAACCCAACTGAAAGAGTTTTGATTGATACACTGAGAACATTTTTCTGCTCTGATAAAAACTTCACCTTTCCTAGCAGATGTTTCCTTCCGACTGTGGACGTGAGCCAGTGTGCAGGGCTCACAGAAATGTCTTCCATCAAAATCAGCGCGGGGCTGGGCAGGAGCAAAACCACACCAGTGCACCTTTTCTCAATTCCAGTCCTAAAAATCCCAAGAACGGGGCTATCACTAAGCTTATGTAAGATGTTTTGGAGTTTGGTTAAGGGAGTTTTTCTTTTATAATGACAAGGTGGGAAAATATTTTTTCTTAGTAGCATGCGTGACATTGGCCTTCCAGAGATTTGTCAAAAGCATCATTTGTGGAGGTTTTGTTCTTTGTCGTGTGCTGCATCATTTGTATGCTTTTGGGCCAACTTCAAACACCAATGAATTATGTGTAGCAAGTTTCTTTTTATTCGAACACGTTCTCTTCTTTTTTATTCCCAAGATTTGTGCCTCTGCCTGCAGGGCTTAAAAAACCCCGCTGAAGGGCTGTTCTGTGATGTTAATATATTAAATAAACAACTTTTTCCATGGGATGCTTTGACTTATAGAAATGGCTCGAATGCCATCAATTTACGGTTTCCAGGTGGATTCACTCACCAGTTGTGCAGTTCGGCAAAGGCAGCTTTGATCTTCTTCACCGAGCTGTCTACTTCCTCCTTGATCATGACGCGGTATCTAGTGAGAGACACAGTGCAGCGCTGCAAATCCTTCACCGATTTCTCAATGTTTGGGCCTAAAATTAAGGTCAAGAAAAATAATGTGTTTTTTTTAAATTTGACCACTTTATATTTGTGAGCTGAACAATAACAACAAAGTCCAACCAACGCACACCCCTCCCCAATAAAAAGAGAGATTTGTTTTTGTTTTTCAGTGAAAAAAAAATTTTTCATCAAGAGGATGTTTACAGCCCAGCGTTTTAAAAATCCAGAGTGGGTGGTTTGCATGGCCCCTGGGACGGCTGTGACTTCAGCAGTGGGTCCTCTGGCTGGGCCCTTCTGGGCACACGTGTCTCCTCTGCTGTTTGGAAAACAGGCTCTGATCATATGCTCTATCGCAAACTGCAGTTTCTTAGAATGTGGTATGTCTAAAGACCATGTGTGCTGCTGGCTCTCACTGTAAACACCACTCTGCGTGGGTAAAAGCCAGCAGGGCTTTTTTGGAAGAGGAAAACGACTTAGAGATTGGGAGAGGTACAAATGAGCTGGAGAGGACGGAGCGGCGGTGCCAGGTACGCTGGCGCTGGCCCCAGCAGTCCCGAGCCAGGCCTGTAATTATAGCAGCAGCACTTAAAGCAGCTCCGCGGGTGCCAATCTACCCTGATTTCCTGAAACTGTCACCAGGGTTTACAGATAGTGCAAAGCAAATCGGCAAACTGTATTTATTCCAACAAGGGCATGATTCTTAGAAGAAAGAAATCTCCCTCAAGATAAGTGAGAAAGTGTATCAAACCGGAGCCAAGGAAATCAGTTGTAACTCAGGCTGAATGAGAAGAATATTATTTAATCTTCTGGAAATCAGAAAGGAAGTGACTTAACCCCTTTCATTTTTAATGCCAGTTATGTTAATGTATATCAAAGCTTGCAAAATAATGAAAAGATGGTGTGCCAAATATAAAACCCTCCCTCAGTGTTATGTGGCCTGAAAGTTCTAACACAGAACTGCATTCACATCAGAAAGATTGTATCTGAAGACATTCCAGCCCTCAGAGTCGTGTTTGTTCCGTGAAAGTTCAGAACTTGTCTATCAGGGAAACATTCAGCATTCACGTTTCAAAAAGGGCTCCTGCATTAAAATTTGTTTTAGAAAACATTAGGGTAGAAAATATGTGTGGTGCACATTTATCCATGACTACAAAGAGAAGCATGGTCTCAGAGAGGCAGAGAAAGGGGATAGAATTCCATTTAAACATTCAAGACCTTTGATTAATGTGGGAGGGATCACATCTGCCTTTCAATCTCTGCGGGTCAAGGAAGGAAACGCAATTTCCTGTGTATCTCTCTTCAACTCGCAGCATCTTTTGGAAAGTTCTGCCATTCTGGCCCTTTTCTGTGTGCAAAATACGTTGAATCATTTGTGCAAAAGAAATCACTTTACCTCTTTTCTTTGCCAACTCATCTGGCTTTATTTCAAGATGAGCTGCAGGGGCATTGGAATTAACAGGAGATGTTTTTGCCTTAGGCTTGCTGGGGTTACAAGGCTGCTCGGCGGACCACTGCAGGCCCTCTGACCTCTCTGGTGTCCCGTGTATAGGTTTGGGGTTGCCATCTAAGGGTAGTTTCTGTTGCAGTGGTCTGTTGCCTTCTGTAAGAAAACACCAAATAATGACTGTGAAGTGATAAACTAACAACACGGATGACAAAGGGATGGAGGATGGCAAGGTTTTCTTTTGTTTACATGTGGGCGGTTACGCCTTTCATCACAAACAGTCCAGAAACTGTTTCAAAAGAATCCCCAGCAGATTTGAGGATGTACTAGAAATAGAAAGAGCCTTCCTAGTACTTGGAGCCAAAACGTGGGTGTTTGGGCTCTGGTCATTACTACACGGTGACCCCGGGCAAGCCACTGAACATCTCTGAGCCTTGTTTTCTCACCCCGAAGTGATTAGGAGGAGGCGTCCATGAGATACTTAGGGGGATCGGGTGGGTTTTTTTCTCATTCGGAAAAGGCACAGATGTCTTTAAGTGTGATTTCACATTGAGGCTATAAAATGTAGCCCTCCTATCTCCAAGTGTTCCATTAATGTCTTGTGGTATTTTATTTTGAATTAATGAAGGCAGGAGAGTGATTGGAGATTGGGCAAGAATGAAGTGACAACAGGTACTGTAATCATTTCATCAAATTTATGGAGGGATTAAATCAGAAAACAACATCATAATATCTCAACTATATTTAAAATCTAGGGAGTCAGATTCTCTCTGGAGCTCTAATAGATGTTGCAATAAATTAGCAGCACGTTGCTCTAGGCATCTTTTAAATGTAGGTTCCCATTTAGTTATTATTGCTGGAGTGAATTAAAAGGCACCTTAGTGGCTGGAAAAGGAAATCTATCACCCTTAACATCTTACTTACTACCAGAGAGAGCTTTGGGTGAGAAAAAAAGGGAAGCCAGTGTGGTTTTGAAAGCCAGGGTCTTGGAGAAAGCTGCGTGTAGTGGAAAAAGTGCATGTCTGGATGCGGGAGACCCACGTTCTGATCTTCCCTAGGTACTGATGACCCTGTAGGAACTACTTCACTTTTCTGGCTGACTGGGGTGCTCACTCAAACAGAGCACAACGTCGTCTCAGTGAAAGTCCGCCCCTTTCCAGACACCCACCTGCCTCACTTCTCTCTACTCACACTGTGCCTTGTGAAAACTTTGAGGGCTATGTTTTAACACGATACTTACATGTCTGCCCCTTGCTTTTGCCTTGGAGAGACTATGACTTCCTTGAAGGCAAATATTAAAATATGATTCATTTTGGAGGCCCCAGTACTTGTGTCTGGCTCAATAGCTAGCTGTAGAATTGTGATTAAATTAAAGTACACTTAGATTTCATAGAAAAAAAAGAAACAAAAAACGGTTTTCCTGACACCATCACAAACATTACAGAGACTGCACTCACAGGGTGCAAAAGAATACGATCTGGGTCCTAGTCGATTTGATTTTCAACATTAGCTCAAGTATGGGAAGTGTAAGTTAGAATCCATCATTCATACCTACAATCAGGAAAGCATAGCATATGTTTTATGGGCTGAATGATGAGCACTCTTTAAATTGACTTAAAGGGAAATTACAGTACACTAGGAAATGTTCAACAAAGGCAGGGAACATAGTAATTAAATACCAAAAACAGCATTTCCTCCAGTAATGAAACATTTAATAGAATCCCCAGAAGATTAGCAGATATACTAGGAATAGAAAGAACCTTGTACTTGGTCCCACAAGACCTGAGTAGGTGTTTGGGCTCTGGTAATTACTTGCTAGGTGACCCTGGGCAAGCCACTTAACATCTCCGAGACTTAGTTTCCTCACCCAGAAAGGTTCTTCGGAAGCTTTCATTACACCAAAGTGGAAGTTCACTGTAGGCTGTGGTGGTCAAACTTCAGTGTGCATGAGAACCTCAGAGGTTCTGATTCATCCGTGGGCCCAGGATTCTACCCACCAGGTCATTCTGTGGGGTGAGGATGGGTGGCACTGCCCACCTGGAAAAATTCTACTGCATAAGATGAATAACTAGGTTTCTGATGAGTCTATAAATGTTTTGTTAAAACAGTGATTAAGTACAGGCTAGTTGCAACTCACTCCCTCTCTATATCATAGTGAAGATTCAGCCTTGATGAAATATTATAAATTGAGAAACTAAAATAAAGTGCATTGTGAATGATGTAGTAAATTAGTCTTATACTTAAAAAATGAGGGGATTTATATGATAACCTGATGGAAATAATGACCTAAGGAAAAAAATTCTTCTGTGGAATGCGAAAGAATTTTACTGAAGACAAGCATGCAAATGAGCATAGGCTCATTAACCTAGAGTTGAAAATATTTTTGTTTGTGTATCAGAAAACTGATATGTGGGCTATCAGTTCATTTCATCATTCATTCAGCATATACTTACTGAGAAATTTGAGTAGAAGTCTTTTTTTGGAGGGGGTTCCTGAAAAACTGCCTCATTATCGGTGGGATCACTGAACACTGGGATGACACGAAGTTCTCAAAGACTACTTGGATATACTATTTGCATATGTATTTTCAAATATAGTAAAACTCTGAAGCTCTTTCAGATGAAAGTTGGTAGGGAGTTATTCAGCTCTAACAGAATTAGGTTCATTAGAATAATGGGAATGCTCCTCTGGCTATAGTAGTTTTCCTCTAACATTACAGGCCAGAATCACCAATAATTCTCTGCCTTTCTGGACTCCACTCGTAAACTTCCATAGAATGTAGCTGACTTAGCATTGATTCATAGCTCCGTCTAATAAGGTACCCACTAGCCACCTGTGACTGTTGAACACATGAAATGTGGCTTGTCTCAATATGCTGTAAGTATAAAATACACACTAAAATTTACAGACTCGGTACAAAAAAAACTTTGATAATTTAAAAATACTGATCACATGTCAAAATGATATTATTTTAGGTATATTAAATTAGACAAAATATATTACCCAATTTAATTTACCCATTTCTTTTTACTTTTTAAATGTAGCTACTAGTGTTTCTGTTCTGTTGTAGATGTCTTAAAGTTTTCTACATAGGCTATAATGAAAATGAAGTTTGACTTCCTCCTTTCCAATGTTGCCTGATTGGATGATTAGGAATGCTAGTACAATGCAGAATAAGCATCCTGGCATCGATCTTGATCTACAGAAATTGCATTCCATATTTTATTATTAAGTATGATATTAGCTGTAGATATTTCATGATTATCAGGAAGTTCTCTTATATTTCTAATTTGCTAGGAGTTTTTATTTTGCCAAGTGATTTCATTTTGCTTCATTTTGAGATAATCATATTGTTGTTCTCCTTTATTTTGCTAATATAGTAAGTCACATTGATTAGTTTTTTAAATGTTAAACCAATGCTGTATTCTTGAGAAAGAGTACATTTGGCCATGGTGTTATATATATATATAAAATATATACTATATATTATATAATAATAATACATAGTATTTATATACATTATAAATAATATATCATATATTATTATGAAGACCAAGTATGCTTTTTATATCATATATATCTTACTTCAATTTGCAAATATCTTGTTGAGAATTTTGCTTCTTTATTCATGATCAATATTATTCTGTAATTTTTCTTATAATAACTTTGTCAGGTTTTGGTAAGATTATATTGGTCTCATTCTTCTTGTTTCTATCTTTTTAAAAAATCTTTTTCCCTCTGTTCTTCAGTTCAGGTTTGCAAGCTGGCCCTCAATCCACTGAGCCACATCAGTCAAGGTTATGGTCTTTAGTTTGCATCATTTCTTTTGACCTGTCCTTAGGTTCACTAGTCCTTTCTTCCTTGTTGTCCAAATTGCTGTCAAGTACATCTGATGACCTCTTTAAATTTTTTTAGACACTGTACTTTTTAGTTCTAGGGTTTCCAGTTCATTATTTTTATCTCTCCTGAAATTTTCCTTCTCTTTACCCTTTATATTCCTTTTTTTCTGTAAATTTTAGAAACATATTTATACTTCTTGTCTGCTGACTCAAATATCTGGGTGATCTATAGGTTTGATTCTAATGACTAATTTTTTCTCTTCATTATAGGTCACAATTTCTTGCTTTTCCCAATGTCTAGTAATTTTTAAATTTGGGTACTGAACATTGTGGATGACACTTTCAGAAATGTTGGATTTTGTTATTTTCCTTCAAATAGTTTTTGTTCTAGTAGGTCATTAAGATACCTAGATCATGCTCTGCTCTTTTCCCCTGCTTTTTTTTTGTCTTGAAGGTAAATATTAGGCATCTTATGGAACAAGTTGCAGTAGAAGAGATAGTATGGGTATAGTGGACTGTTTCTTAAAATACCTTGATTTAATTCCCCTGTTTTATACCTCTTTTCTTTCTCTTTTTTTAGAGGGAGGGGAAGGGAGGGAGAAAGAGAGGGAGAGAAACACTGGTGTGAGAAACAAATCAGGTGCCTTTCGTATGCACCCCAGCTGGGACTGAACCCACACCTAGACATATGTCCTGACTGGGAATTGAACCTGCAACGTTCCAGTTTGTGGGATGATACTTAAGTGAGCCACACCAGTCAGGGTATACCTCTTTTCTTAAGCTTGCCCTCCACCCTGTCTTCTGACTCTAAATCTGGAGCTTCTCCATTCTTTGCTGGACAGTCCTCCTCCTCCTGGCTAAAGCTCCCTCCATTGTAATTCTATGCTATAGCTTCCTATACTCTGCTTCATCTGTCAAACCTCCTCCATCTACTTTCCCTCTTCTGTTAACTGAGGCCCTCCTTTTAGTTTTCTTCATTATTGTAGATTTCTACATTAAAAAATTCAGTGGGGTTTGTGATGAAGAAATACACGTGCTTTTCTTCTTCTTAAAAAAGTTACAGATTTGCACGGCTGAATTATTTTCCAGTCAATTGATACCCATTTATAATAAACTGTAATGCATGCTATTGTTCTCATAATTAACTCTTCAATACTGAGGACTTTCAATTTTCCAGTGACTAAATCTTGGTATCAACTTACATATTGAATTTGTCCTTTACTTGAGTTATTTTACATAGCAAAACATAAACTGTGGTGGTTGTCTTTTATTAACAGCACCAAAGAAAACAAATCTTCCTCTTGAGAGAAATATATG